AACGTGGATATTGATGTAGAAGATCTTGGGATGCATCTTTAATCTCAATTTTTGAATGCAGATATTGAATCCCAAATTTTCTTGTGTATCAATTTCTTGTGGTTAAATTTCAGTAACCTCCTTGAAGTTTGGAAAAAGTAGTTTGCATAATTATATTAAGATCCTTTGATATTTTAATTTATATAATACTCAATTTTTTTGTTAGTAATTTGGTAGTTGTATGAATGAAAAAACAATAGTCACCTCTCTTGCACCAAAATATATAATTTACCTTCTTTCTTTTTTTTTTTGTTGGTATCTACACATTTATATTAATTTTGATCTCTTTAACTTTGTCAAAAGGGAGGCTAGTGTAAAAATGATAGTCATCTATTTTACATTAAAATATATAATTCAACTTATTTTTTTCTTGTGTCGGTACACTAACTATATTAATTTTGGTCGATTCAATTTAGGGGTAGTAATTTGAACCCGGCCCCCCGACCCCCAAGTAGAGCGGTTTTTTCTCGAAAAATATCCCCCACAGGCTGGGAATGGTATTCAAAAATAAACATACTATATATATTCCAAAAAATGTATGCCCTCTGTCTTTCAGACTCTCACTCTCTCTCTCTCTCTCTTTATGTCCTCTGGTTCAAAAAGACTCACTCTCTCTCTTTCCTGTACTCTCTCTCACTTCGCACATTTCCTTTGCTTCCCTCTACTCTCTCTCTCTTGCACATCTCCTTCTCCTCAGTGCTACCGTCATTGTCCGTGATGTCATTCGTCGTCTTTGTCCTCCATCGTTCGTTACCGTCGTCCCCCATTGTCTGTGCCGATCTCTGTCGTCCTCTCTGTGTGTGTATGTGTGTATCTCTTTTTGTGGATGTATACATGTATGTATGTATATATGTATATATGTGTGTGTCTCTCTGTGTATGATTTTGATGTTGAAAGAAGTTGTTGAACACTGAACAGATTTGGATCGGGGAACTTTTGGGGTCTCCGATCCCCGTTGGGGACGGAGACGGAGAAGGTGATAGGATCCCCGTCAGAGATCGGGGCCGAGAAAATTTTCACTATCGAGGATCAGGGACGGGGAAGGTGATCCCTAGCCCCGCCCCGCCCAGTTGCCATTCCTAATTCAATTATACTAAAAAGGGGAATAGTGCAATTATGTTAAATTTATAAATTTATTATATTCTTTAATTTAACCTTTTCCTTTTGTACTAGTGAAATCACCCCAAGAGATCAGTGAAAGTTTGTTCAGTCAGAATTAATTGAAGTGCGCTTAGTTATCCAAAAAAGGTGCCTTGCCCTCGAAGCAAGTTTGAGCATCAAGACATGCCAAAGAGCCAAAAAATATGGAATTGAAGTTAATATTTCATTAACCAGAACCCACTAAAAAGGTTTGATTCTTAGTGTTCAAAATAAAAAAAAGCGAAATTGGAGCTGCAAACCAACAAAACATAGGCTTTTTTGCACTCCATTACAGGGGTCTACCATGACCGTATTCAAAGATTTTCACAATCCTAGTCACAATACACCTAAGAAGACTAGTTTTTTTACTCAATTCAACTACTACTACATCAAAGAGGCCATGAACTCTGGTGTTTTTGTTATCCCTCATCACAAAAACTGGAAGGCACAACTCCGAGTTCCAAACGCCCGGTCCATTCCTCACCCGGCTTCAAAGTTATAGGTTTCTCAATTATTGCCCCATCCACACAGAGCATCTGTTTGTACTCATCGTCCCCGAAATCTAGCATTGCTTTCGCTTTCTTCTCCCATGGATTCCACACCACTATTTGAACGAAAATAAACAACAAAAAAGGTTAGCATTACAAAACAAAAATTAAGTGAATTGTATAATCTCACCTTTTTCACCATAGATATGTACTCCTAAACACAAACCTTATTATTCTTTATTTCTTCATAAAATTTAAAAAGAAAAATTTTCAGCTAAATGCGTGCTAGTTCTCATTAGACTAGGGTTGACAAAAGTTCAACATAGAAATGAGAGAAGATCTTGATGATGCAGCCGTTGAATCTGTATTTTCCTTGTAAGAGGAGTCCTCATCTGACAATATTCTAGAATGGCCATAAATTACTCAAGATTCCTCAAGTTTTCTAGAGAAGACGATGATTTTTATTTCCAATATCGGAAGATTAACTACTTTGATGCATTTCTCTTGATAAACAAAGTAGTTAAATAACCAAGTTTATCTTATGGAATGAGTTGACGTGATTTGATAAAGATTACCATCCAAATCTAGTCGGTTAAATTCTCATCATAGTTAAATGACCAAGTTTATCTTATGGAATGAGTTGACGTGATTTGATAAAGATTGCCATCCAAATCTAGTCGGTTAAATTCTCAGGTGTCCATAATTTTTAAGCTCACTCGTCTTCTTTCTTGATGTGTACAATGCCTACAAAATATCGAAGTTTCCATAAAAAAAAAAAAATCTTCTTACACGTGAGAAATATGTCTAAGGCATCTTACCAACATCCGGTAGCCCTTCCTTCCTTATTACATACGTTCTTTTCCTTTCGTGATCAAGGACTGCAATAACATTTGGCGAACTAAGATAAACTCGGTCCACCTGAGCGCGCGCACGCGCGCGCACACACACAAACAAACAAACAAAAAAACTATTATTTCAAAAGTGCAATGACAAAATTGCGATATGTCTCAAGAACCAAATCAATTCATTTTCAACTAGTAACATTTCATATCATATCAACATCTATTATTTCTCCTTGTAAATTGCAAATAATATCATGTGTTTTCGTGAACCCCTTGAAAGTGGCTTCCTCTTTCTAAAGTTCTTGCAGACAAAACTCATGGTGGTAAACGATGAAAAATAAAAGAAGAAAAATAAAATTCTGCTAAAGATTATAGATCACTTATTTTTTTTCTTCTCCATGATCCAATCAAATAACATGAGGGTTTTGCATAACTCTAAAACGTCGGTCTACAAATAATAAAAGAATTTACCTCGGATTCAAAAGTTATGGCATCTCCTTGTTCTGTAAAACGTTTTCTTTGGCAAAGGTTGTCCAGATAGTCGAGTGTTTCTAGCCCTTCAATCCTCACTTCACTGCAGATAAATTCATGTTCATGTAAATACCATTTATCTTGAATGAAAAACTCCAAATACACTTTAAAAATAAATAAATAAATAAATAAAACCGATGTCATTTTTTCATCTTGATAAAATATTGCCATTGTTAAAGAAGAAACTCAACTCAACTCATTCTTTCTAGTTTTTCTCTAGGTTTTCTGTACGTCTTTTCGTAAAAAATCAAAAAGTCACTAAAAAAGTCAATTGCCAAACAATCCCTCAACAAGTTTTTGTCCAATTTCTTGTAAATGCATTTTTTTTTCCCCTCAACGAAATAGTATGCCCATATTGATAGTTAATTTATAAATAACCATAATTCTTAAAGCGACAAATGCTTGTTAAAGTATGCTGATAATCTAAGTAGCACAAATGCTTCTAAGAAGGTCACGTGTCGCATTGGACACCCATGGCACAAGTACTTATGAGACACATATCCTACTATTTTGAGGGAAAAAAATAGACAAAAAACACAGCATACCTAATATCAGAGACGGACAAGTATGTATGATAGGCAAATGAAAAATGAAACGGCTTGCCATTGATATTTCTAATGCGTGATATCAACGTCAGTTTTCCATCTGCTGCGAGGGAAACCCTAAGACGAAACTCAAAACTGGAAAAATAAAGAAATTCAGTCAGCAACATACAAACATCACAATCACATCTCTTGAATATACAAATATTGAGAGAGAGAGAAAGAAAAGGGAAGAAAAAAAAAAGAAGTAAATAAGCATACAAAGGGAAGAAGTAGACTATCAAACATGTAGATCATTTGGATGGAAAATATGTCCTCCAAGAAGAATGAAGTGTGGAGGATATCCTCAACCTATGACTTGATAATACAAAAGCCGGTCTGACAAACACTAAACATAAAAACAAAATTTCAATTTTTTTTTTTACCCAATTCAATAATTGGGACTTTTATGTAGACATCTTAATGTCATTAACCTAAATGACTTGTGAGAATTTCAGCTGCTTTTATGAATCCTATCAGAAAATTTTTAAATGTTAGTCAATTACGGACCCTATATTTCTTCTCTCTCCTCTTAGAACTTCTATTTGCAAGTCTCCTAAAGAATAAAGAGTTGAAATTTTTATATAAAGGATTGAAATCCTAAAGTGTCCGAGGTCATATACCAACGTGGCCAACACTTCAAATCTTCGTCCGATGGTTTGAGTAGCAAATCAACAAAGGATTTTCCAAGGGAATCATTAGGGTGTAGAGGTGGAGGGTTCTCATCAATAGACCAAATTTTGTTCCTTGCAAATCCATGTTGCTCAAGTGAACCACAGTTTCCAAACTGCACTAACATCGAACAAGGCGCATCAATAAAAATACTCAAATCCAAACCAAAATATATATATACATATCAATAGTGTGATTTGATCAGAATTATGAAGGAATGATTGAAGAGACCTGAGGGAAACATATAGGGATTCCTCCCCGCATTGCTTTTGGAGGCTTAAAGATTGCCTACAATCCATCAAAAAACACAAAGTGAATCAATTTCCGAGTAGATATCAAGCAATACTAGTATATCAACTATTTATGGTATGAAACACTAAATGCAAGACGTCATTTCCTCAATGATCATCAAATTTTAGTCAAATTGTATCATTTCGTGACATTCTATTCAGTAACAAATGTATTTAAATGTCCAAACTGAAAATCAGAGTCGGTTAAACAACTTTCATTTGGGAAAACTTCAACCCGCAAGATAAATTATCTTAAACCATCGATCCATATATGGGTTATCATGGTATAGACCACACCGGCAACCAAACAGGACTAGAGTTGGAAATGTTTATTCTAATATATGTATAACAACTGACACTTACCAAATTTCATGTACAATTTCAAATAATCATCATTATTCTAACGATATATCATTCTTGAAGTTGCTCATCAATTATTGATTTTTGAGTTCCAATCTCTTCATTGACAATCTAGAGTTAGTATTACATTAATCTTAAATAAAATGTCGAACATAACACAACGACAAACACAAGAATATCACAGCAATGAAATGATCAGAAAACAATACCTTGCTACTAGTGAATAGAAGTTCTTCACCGCGGTCATTCCTCCACGAAGTGACTTGACCTCCATGTAAGCTAACCTAGATCATAAACAGAGAAAAACTCAATAATAGAACAAAACACAATTTAAACAACACAACTAGCATCATTTGACACCGAGTTTTGCTATAATGGATCAAAGCTACAAAAGGGAAATGCTTAATTTATCGGTTTAATGGACTACTTGAGTTAAAGAAGGGATGATGAAAAGGATCTCTCACCCTAACCGAAGCCCCTCGTGGGTTCCGGAGTACAACTTGATCAATCCCATTCCAGTCCTTTGTCACTTCAATTGCAGCCTTATGATCCCAAATTGCAGCATAGTGTCCCATTTTCAAAAACACTAAAAACAGTTGCAAAAACCAAAAATTGTGACTCTCTTTATTAGACTTACAGATTCCCAAACAACTTCCAAGTCCTACATTAACTTATCAAACACAAAGAACACCAACAATGCAACCTAGGCGCCGTGAGTTCGAAACACAGAAAGAGTCTCTCCACGTGCAGGGTAAGACTGTGTACATCTGAACCTTCTCAGATCTTATAGTGGCGGGAGTGTCATGTACCGGGTTACTCTCCTAAACACCTTTCTTGTGACAAACTTGTGATTTTTTGAATCAAATTAAAAAACCCACCAACAAATTCAACTTTCACAATCTTACTTTCTCACCATAGTCACCAGATTCATAAAACCCTAAACCTAGAAACTCCTAAAACGTCATTAATGCCTAAGTAGCCTTCAAAATGCAACATTTGTCAACTCTGCAGAAATGATGCAAATCCTAGGTGAAATGAACTAAGAAATCCCCAGAAAATTTTGATATTTGCGACAGAGAAACACAATCATATTGGTGCAAATTTCGCCAAGAACTCAACTTTTCTATCAAAAGAAGATAACCCAGTTCCCTATTTTTTAATCCAAATCTCTAAACTCAACGAAAATCTACCTGAAATCCACTCAGAAATCCCCAGAAAATTTTGATATCTACAACAGAGAGAGACAATCACATTGATGAAAAAAGAAGACAAACCAGTTCCCAATTTTGAATCCAAATCTGTAAACTCAAAGAAAATCTTTTTCAAAAAACAAACTCAGTGCAGTGAAGAACCCACTTGGGGGGGACATCAAGATCGAGAATGAGAGCCTTCAAATTTTAAAAGATATGAAAGTTAAACAGTTCTGAGAACAGAGTCATTGCATCGAACGTTTCAAATGCAAACAATGCTCACTCAAGAAAACAACACGAAAACTTAAAAGAAAAACAAACGAAAAAAAAAAATGAATAAGCAAAGAGACTGAAGAAACGGCTTCGGCTAAGCCAACTATCTAAATAATTATATTTTTATATATTAATAGAATATTCCTCTAAATAAATTCTGTAAAATCTTGTATAAATCATATTTAGGCTCCGTTTGGCAAGAGCTAAACGGGATTTTTTTTGGCTATTTTAGCCACAAAAAACAAAATAGGCTATTTTAGCCACAAAAAATAAAACATCACATTCAACCTATAATCATTACATTATTCTCTCACAAAAAAAGTCAAAAAAGTCAAAAAGCCAAAAAGCCCTTCCCAAACCAAACTTTTTAGCCCAGGCTAAAATAGCCAAAAAAATCAAAAAGCCAAAAAGTCAACCTACTTCCCAAACGGAGGCTTAGACGTATTGTATGTTCTATTTTGTGTTTAATTTTAAAAAATGATTTATAAATAAAAATTTATATAGAAATACATTTAGAGTGATGTATTTGTGAAATTTTAAAGGAATTACACGTAGTCATCTTTGTCATTTGGCAAAATTTTTTTTAGTTAGCATTTTTAAGTTGAGATTTTTTTAATAGGATTGCAAAGTTCATTTGGAAATTTTTTTTTAACTTTTATGAGAGAAAAGATAAAATAATTATGATTTAAATATGACATTTTATCTTATTAATTTATTTAACTTATTGTCTTTTATGTTTTTTTAATCCCAACTACGATAGCCAAACAAAACCATAAGGCCTCGTTTGGGAAGTAATCGTTTTATCTTAGAAACCAAAAAGTTACTAAAAAATCAAAAAACTTATAATATATACCAGAAAATTAAAAATTCTATTTTCTCTCTATTTTTTGCACATATTTTCGTAAAAAATTAATAAGTCATTCTAAATATATAAATTTTTTTTACCTCATATTTTAACTTAAAAATCAAAAAATTACTAAAATAACATATTCCCAAACGACGCCAACCTCTCTTAATGTTACTTATTTATTTCAATTACTAAACAAGAGATAAATGATAATAAATGGAGATAAATTAATTTTTCTTATAACTCACTTTTTGAATCTATCTAAAACTAAGGCCAAGTTTGACATGTCTCTAAAAAGTCAAAAAGTTAGGGGTTGTTTGGGATGATCTAAATAAGTGTACTTTTTGACTTTTTATGAATATGGGTTGGATTTGGGTTGGGTTTGAAGTGATGTGTTAGAGAAGTTATGTGACTTAAATAAGATAATGTGACTTAAATAGGATAGTGACTTTTTGATTTTTTTGAAACTTGCTAAACCAACCCTTAATAAAAAAGTTAAAAAGTTATCACTATTCACTAAAAAAAATATTAAAAAATTAATTTTTCTCAACTTAGTACAACTCAGAATATGACATGGATGGTTTATTGATGCGTTTGTTAAAGAAAAATTGCACACTTTGGGTGCAATTTTCACACACTGTTGTTCGGTTTGTGTGGGTCAATCACGGGTTCTGTTTTGATAATCTGAACCATTTCAATGTGTAGAACTCGTCGAGTACTATATGCCTGTAAAAAATCACATTAATCGGATATCGATAACTACATAATCAAATCAGTTTTGTATTAAAAAATGGATGGTGTTATAATTAACGATTGAAAAAAAACAAATCTGATCATATAGCTATCGATATCCGATCAATGTGATTTTTTATAGTCATATAGTACTCGACGAGTTCTATATATTAAACGGTTCAGATTATCAAAATAGGACCCGTGATGGCCCCCATGGGCCGAACAAAACCATCCAGTGCAATGCCCAAAAAGTAGCCAATCATTATTTTCATCTATTCCCCTGCCCAAAAAGTACGGCTGCACAACTCTCAATCCTAATATTTCCTACACACTAATTTATACAATTTTTTAATATACATTTTTTCATAAAAAGTCAAAAAATTAATCCAAACAACCATATTTTTTTCTCAACTTTTTAGTTCAAAAAGTCAAAAAGTGCACTTATTCAGGACACTCCAAATAACCCCTAAGTATGGCTTCGTTTGGGAAGCCCAACTTGGGGCGTTTTTTGGCTATTTTAGCCACAGACACAAAAAAAAAAAAAAAAAAAAAAAAAAAAAAAAAAAATTTAGTCCAATAAGACAAAATATCACATTTAACTCATAATCATTACATTCTTTCTCTTACAAAAAAAGTCAAAAGAGCCAAAAGCTCTTTCCAAATCAGGCTTTTTAGCCCCAGGCTAAAATAACCAAAAAAATCAAAAAGTCAAAAAACCAACTCACTTCCCAAACGAACCCTATATGAACCCTGCGATGCACAGGTTAAACAAATAATTAAAAATAATTTTAAAAATAAATAACATTATAAAATTTATTCAAAAAGTATAGAACAATAATTTAGAATGAATTAAATTTTACACATTTTATTAAAATATATATTGCAGTTGTCATAATTTAATTAGTAAAGATGAAAAAAATAGAATAAATTAAAATATATATATATATGATAAAACAAAAATAAATTTCATTTTATAATTTTTTTAATTTTAGTTTATTGTAGGTTAAGATTTGTCATAAAACTTAAACATACTTTTTATAAATAAAACAATATATATTGATAAATTCGTTAAAATAGGTAAAAAAACTAACTAATTTACACAAAAATTAATAAATTAAAACTTTTAAATTTTATTTATTTTAAAATTTAAATTGTTTTTAACTGAAATATACACAACACTATATGTTTACTTTATATAACTAAAACAATTCACTTTTTCATTCTTTTCCTGATAAGGAATTGTGTAAAATAAAATAAACAATTGTTCGGGCGAAAAGTTTACTTCGAATCAAACAATATCAATCATTTAATCTTTAATTAGATCAATTTTTAGTTTATTTCGAATCAAATAAATCAAACTAATATATTTTGATAAAATTGCTAAGATCGCGATTAAACCATCAAATCAGTTAAACCAAAAACGGTTCAGCTTAATCGGTTAGGTCAAAAGACCAACCAACTTATATAAAAATTAATTAATTTAAATTTTTAAATGTTATTTTAATTTTAAAATTTAAACTGTCTTTAACGGAAACGTGCATAACACTACAATATTAAATAGGAACATAAGATTCATTTTATATAAGTGAAACAACTCACGTTTTTCTTATTTTCTCAATATCGGATTGTAAAATAAAAGTTAACAATTGTTTAGAAAGAAAGTTTATTTCTAATCAAGCAATCAGTTGTTCAATCTTTAATCAAGTCAATCATTAGTTTATTTCAAATCAGACAAATTCAACTAATATATTTTGATAAACCCGCTAAAATTATAGTTAAGCTACTGAATCAGTCAATCAAAAAATGAACCAACTTACACAAAAATTAATTAATTAAAACTTTTAAATTTAAACTGTCTTGAACTGAAACATGCATGATACTATAATATTAAATAGGAGTATAAGATTTACTTTATATAAGTGAAACAATTCACTTTTTTCTTATTCTCCCGATGTAAGATTATAAAATAAATTATGTCATATAATAATTAAAGTTTTTATTTTAAAATTTAAACTATCTTGAACTGAATTATAGACAACACTATAATATTAAAAGGGAGTATAAGATTTACTTTATGTAACTAAAACAAATTTTGCTTTTTCTTCTTCTCAGATGTGGAATTATAAAATAAATTATAAACTAAATAGAGTTTATATGGTTAAATGGAAATTAGCCAATTAATTTTTTTTAATTGTTTAAAATTAATAAAATCAATATGAGAAATCATAATTAAATCGGTGAATCGATCAAACCAAAAATTATACACCTTTTTCTTATTCTCCCAATGTAAGATTATAAAATAAATTATGTCATATAATAATTAAAGTTTTTATTTTAAAATTTAAACTATCTTGAACTGAATTATGGACAACACTATAATATTAAAAGGGAGTATAAGATTTACTTTATGTAACTAAAACAAATTTTGCTTTTTCTTCTTCTCAGATGTGGAATTATAAAATAAATTATAAACTAAATAGAGTTTATATGGTTAAATGGAAATTAGCCAATTAATTTTTTTTAATTGTTTAAAATTAATAAAATCAATATGAGAAATCATAATTAAATCGGTGAATCGATCAAACCAAAAATTATACAGCCTCTTCGGTTAGGTCAAATGACCAACAAACTTATACAAAAATTAATTAATTAAACTTTTAAATGTTATTTTAATTTTAAAATTTAAACTGTCTTGAATTGAAGTATACACAATGTTACACTATTAAGATTCATTTATATAAATAAAACAACTCATTTTTTTCTTCTTTTTCTGATGTGGGATTATAAAATAAAAGTTAACAAGTTGGACAAAAAAATTATTTTTAATCAAGTAATTTCAGTCTTTCAATCTTTAATCAGATCAATCTTTAGTTTATTTCGAATTAAACAAATCTAATCAATATATTTTGATAAAATCGCTAAACTCGCAATTAAACCAACAAATCAATCAAATAAAAAATGATTTAACCTAATCGGCTAGGTAAAAAAACCAACTAAGTTACACAAAAATTAATTAATTAAAAATTTTAAAATTTAAAGTATATTGAATTGAAACATGCATAACATTACAATATTAAATGAGATGCAAGTATAAGATTCACTTTATATGAGTAAAACAATTCATTTTTTTTCTTTTTCTCCTGATGTAATATTATCAAATAAAAACTAGCCAATGGAGATTTTCTTAATTGTTTAAAATTAAGAAAAATCAAGAAAATTAGTATGAGATATTGAAACTCTCACAAGATTCCTTACTAAAAACTCAATTTTTCTTATCAATCCCGCTACAGACTCCCAGTGACATGGCGATCCCCAGTGATATGACGACCCCCAGTGATATGGCGATGAGGTGGCAACAGATGTGTTAACACAGCTGAAAAAAAAAAAGAAAAAAAAAGGAAAATTATAACCAATTGTGTTCTCTTTCTTCTTATCTCTGCACACTCTTCGTCATCTTTCTCTTTCACACGACCCTCTCTGCAACAACTTTCTCTCTCTATAGCTCACCTC